TTTTTTTAAATCACAAAATAACGAAGTTCTATGTAAAACATAGAACCATTCAATGTAGGTTTTTATATTTTTTTAGGATAGCAAGGTTCTATGTTAAACATAGAACCATTCAATTTTTGCTTTTTTTTAGGATAGCAATGTTCTATGTTAAACAGAGGACCTTGCTTAGAGTTTTTTGCTTAGAGTTTTATTTACAACTAGCGGCTCACGCTCGCTTCGCTCGGGTTCGCCTCTAGAAAAGCACAAACAGATGTATCCCACGGGAACCGTTCATTTTTCCGGGATGAAAAGTAATTTGTTGTTAGACCGGCAATATAAGGTCAGCATGCCAAATTTTACTAAATTACGTGCATAAGTCGTTGTGTACTAAGCTGTTTAAGTTACTATAGTTTTTTAACTATCCCACGGGAACTCCTTAATTTTCCGGAATAAAAAGTATCTAAGATGTTGCCTGGGGATATAAGGTACCGCCATCCAAAATTTCATTTAAATCGGTCTAATAGATTCGAAGATTAGCCCGTACAAACAGACAGACAGAGAAATAAAAAAATTGGTAAAAAAATCTGGATTTGTTCTATTTGTCTTCTTACATGACCCTGACTCGGTTTTTAGCATTTTTGTTCTATGTACAGACATTCGACCTCTACAGTTTTATTATAGTATACATTTGAAGTGAGCTTTAGATGTTCACACACAGCAGAATCTATGTATCGATGCCTACAGTGGACAAGGAGTTCTATGAGGCAATATTTAAAGTGTAAACCATTTTTTATGATAATAAATTTCACATGTGTACTCGTACAAGTAATGTTTTTTAATGGTACTGAGACATGATAACATATTATAATAGTTCAGATGACTCAAGAAAATTAATGCTTAACTTGGACATAAACTAATATCTTTTACTTATTTCAATGAAACAAAGTCCTAAGTTCTGGTTAAAATAAATAAAAATATTTTTCGCTATCACAAAGTTCTATGTTATTTTAATTTCGATATTATTGCTTAATATCAAAGTCAATATCCAATTTTTAGTTCCTAGAAAGTATCATGTAGTCCTTAATTATGCCAATAAACTGTCACTGAGGGATTAAGACTAATAAGTATACATTTTTCGAAAGTCAAAAACTTTAAAGCCAAATTACTAAACTTCATTGAAATTAACATAGAACCTTGTAATAGTGAGCCAACGTTATGCAATCGCGGACTTTTCTGTAGACTGTTTTAAGAACTACCATTTTCTAGTACATTCTTTTAATGTATATCTTAAGGTTTAGCCAGTGTTGCCATCAGCGTGAGAAATACGAAAAATAGTTTTTTTGACAAAACACGTCATAGTTAGCTTTTCTGTACAAATGTTATCCGTGAGCCTTCATCGTTGTACCTCTTTCTATTAGTAGAAACTGTGTCGAAATCTGTTGCGTGGCTTACAAGAAGTAGGATTAGAAGGGGTAGGAGGAGATGCAGACAGTGACAGAGAGTCAGGTAGAGTTACTTTCGCATTTGTAATATCGATATCTATACAGATAGATGTTACGGTTACTACTTGCACTATATTATTTTAAAGAAAATATCTTATTTTTCTTAGCTGCTTATCTGTAGTATTGTTTATTCAAAATCACACTATTTATAGAAACACTTGGCTCCGAGGTTAAGGCTAAACCCGTCTTAAAAGACATAATACGTCGTCTTATCGCCTCTTCCAGTGAGGAGAGGGTTGGCTTTTTTCACCCAAAGTATCAGGATTCGAGAAGGGTTGGATAAACAATGACACTTTTTATTATACAGACTAGCATTGCCCGCGGCTCCGCCCGCGTTCATATGACCAAAAACCAAATTCTTATATTTTACACATTATTATACTCTTACAATGCAGTTTTTGTATTTTTTCTCAGAAACGAGATATTTTCCCGCGGTTAGAAGTATCCTATATGTTGACCCGGATAACCAGCTATCACCATACCAAATTTCATCAAAAGCCCTCTAGTGGTTTTTCTGTGATGCGGTAACAGACAGACAGACATACAGACAGACAAAAATTCTAAAAACTATAGATTCGGCCTCTGTATCGATAATAATGTCTATTTCGATAAGATTTTCCAAAAAATTTTTGATGTACAGATTCGGCTTGGTTACAATATTATTATATGTATAGATAGCTTACTTTAACTGTACTGTAACTAAATTATTTTCGATCGGATTTGTAGCTGAAAAGTAAGCAAAGCAAAAACTTTATAAAGCGGTGACATACTACCAGAGGTAGTTGTGAATTCAATAGTCGTGAATAAATAGAATCTCAATTTTTTTCTTACAAATACCATTAATGAGGTTATTGCCTTAGTTCTATCGAACTCTTGGACAATACAATGGTAGGTGCAAAAGTCCCACCAAAAGTTTCCTACGCTAGCAGACCGGAACGAACACTTACATAAAACTGAATTTTTAAAAATCTTCGTAAAAGTACCTATTATTAATCGACTAATTGTAAGTAATATATTTTTGGAGTATGGTATAGAATGTATACCATCTCAATAAAAATGTTATGTACATACATATAGTTTACTAGCGACCCGCCCTCGCTTCGCTCGGGTTCGTCCCTGGGTACGTTTTAATGTTTTTGAGCGGAACCCTAATTATTTTTCTAAACTAAAAGTAGCCTATGGTACTCCCTATATTATCCGCTATCTTCCAGTTATAGTCCCGTCAAAATCAGTCCAGCCGTTTCAGAGTTTATCCGGAACAAACAGACAGACAGGCAGACAGACACACAGACAAAAATTTAAAGAAATGTGTTTATTTTATATAATTTCATATGCATTTAGTTAAACGCAGTTGTTTTGACATTACAAACAGACACTTCAATTTATTTATCTGTATAGATTTGGCATTAAGAATCATAAAATTACATTTTTTATATTACTAAGCTTCAATTCTATATATTATAATATTTTATAGAATCTGGTGAAACAAGCTGATATGAACCTCACAATGAAATGTTGTCGGCTCTAGTCTCTTTAAGTATTTTGCCACATATTTTTTATCTGTACTTTAGCTATTACTACAATTGACATCAGTTTAACGTGCCGTATGAAGGCAGCCTTTGTCCTATTTAGATTCCCAGTACGTGAATAAACTTCAAGTTATTGTACAAACGTATGTACAGACAATCCTTTTTATTACTATTCCATTGTTTTACGAGAAGGCCTCTATTAATCCCGCTTTACATCGAACCATACCCGCTTAAAAGGTTAAAATATAAGGGGTTGAAATATATGTATGTATTTAACATTTTCATTTAAATATTTTCAGTGTTTTCAATTTAGATTTATTTTATTTGTCATTACGGTTCATATGATTTAGTTGCGTAGTTTTTTTGCTTATTAAAGATATTTTTTAAATTAACTAGAATTATAGGCACCTTGAAAGGCACCTTGAATAAAGCCTACTTGGTTATTTTACTTATTTATACTTTTTCTTAAAAAAATTATCTTAATACATGAATTAAAAAAAAACCAAATAATATTAAAGGTTGTGGAGTATGCGAAACGAAAGTTCATTTAATTCCATTCATTCCAGTGAAAGTTATCCCATCAAAAACATGAATGTGAAAATGGGAGCCAAGTTCAATATTAAGAATATGCGTGGTTGTCAACTTCACCGACAAAATAATTGAGATCTATATGGGTGCCAAGTTTTGTGTAGATAATCCTATTTTTTTTTTCATAAGAACATACAACATTCTAAAATAAAATTTTAAACAAAATTTCTTGTTTTTTCTGCTACAAAATTGTTTGCTATTTAAAAATAAACTTCTTAAATTTGAACAGTCGAATTATTTACACAGAGTAGATAGTTTAGATAAATTGAAGTTCAATATTTTACGTAGCTAGTTTTTACCAGTAAAGCAAGTTTTTAGAAGAGTGACAAATGATGACCTAACAATATAAAAACAGTAACTTGCGTATAGCATTAAGAAGATATAAGTAATTAGCCGAATATAAGATAAATTGTATGTAAAGTTAAAGATTTTTCAGTTTCAAAAACCTAACCAATACTCTACTCCAATAAAAGTGTAGGCATCATTACACAACCTTCTGTTCCAATATACCTATAGGATAATGTTGATAACAATAAATGTTATTAGTATCGAATTACTAATATTATTAAAGATATACCTACACAACTTTACGCAATATTGCTTACACATATACATATACAGTAGTCACAAATTATATATATATTCTTTTATTCTTTATTGTATATTAACAAAGTAACACGGGTAATACAGAGAACAATGTGGGCATATATTGTATAATTAGATTATAATAGATTATTTTAGAATTTAATTCTTTGGACTGGAGTTACAAATTTATTTTCTTTTTGGGATAGAAAGAAAATCTTGGATTTAGTTGTGCAAAATCAAAGTAATAGGAGTTGAACTACGAGAATATTGAAATTTTTAATAATGAATCGGCGATCATGCGGAACAAGCAGACAGGCAGACATTGTATTTTCGTATTTAATAAATTCGTGAAGCTTGCAACTTTTTCGCAGTATTTTAAGAAAAGTTCGTGTTAATCATTTCACATCAAAAATTATGGAAAATCATTAATTCAAAAAACATTGAACAAGCTTACACGGTACACCTAGCATTTCATTCGTTCTCAAAAAAATATGTCTTTTTCAGTAAATGCATGTTCTAGCAAACTTATTAACATGATGTGAAATTACGTCAATCCATACTGTAGTTACCTCACGTCATTTGCCTAATTTTAAATTCAAACTTTTCCGCGAAATCTCTCGGTTTCCGCATATACCTATTAACGATCTAAGTAAAAAAGAATAATCGTCCCAATTTCTTTCTTTTGTGGGTGCTAAAGTTAGCCCTATTCCGTGTCACATCTTAGTGCTAAACAGAACTTTAAAGTCGACTTCAAAATTTATGTTTGATTGAATAACAGATAAAAACTTAATAACAAACTTAATACGTCTGAAAGTTCATGTTAGGAAACGATTCGAGTATTCTAATTTTATTGGCTGGCTTAATACTGGCTTACGATGCACTGACTAAAGTCGGCTGGTTTGCCCGTCTGCACATATCTTTCGTTACACGAAAAACCTAAATCTGTATTATTTCAACGAAACCATAATTCTTTAAACACACACACACACACACATATATATATATATATATATATATATATATACATATATATTTAACTTTGTCCTTGTTATGATTTTACTAAGTTTATCTGTAGATAAAATTTTTAGAACCACTTGTAAAACATTGATGTTTGCTTTTAGGTGTGATATATGATATTTATTGCTTTAGCGTCATAGCAATTATGTTTAAACTCTGTAATCTGTATACTATGGTAGGAAGTATAAAGTATATCAGTCAGTAGTGGACCGAACACCATTCTGATCAGTTGTGCGCAAGAGTTGTGTGAGCTATATTAACGTCATTGAAATAACGGTTCAAATATACGAAGTTAAAAATAAAAACACTTGAAAGATTACAATAATCATATTATAAAAAATATTGCGGCGAAAAAAATATTTTAAGTGAATTTTATCAAGGTAAGAATGTGAAGGCTGTTCAGTATAGTTTTAAAGTCAACTTTCCAGCTTTCAATATATTAGATACTTATACCGGTTTGAGTTTTACACATTATTTTTTTGCGAATATTTTTTGCTAAAATTAAAAAAAAATATAATTTTATATTAAAATATAGGTATATAATATTACATTATAAAAACAATAATCAAGTATGTAAGTAGAGAAAAATAATTTAATTTAAATTTTTAATTGGCCCAAAGACGAAAGCCATTCACACTTTGTTATGTTTATTTATATTGTTTGTTAGATACAATAAAGTTAATGGCCAAGTAGATTCATCTGGTGAATTCCTTGCTATTTTAGTAAGCGGCATTTAGTGAGAGTAGGCCAAGTTTTATAATTAAAATTATTTTGCTTTATTTTTAATGAATTAAGTTTCAAAATATTGTTGTTAATAGTTTGAAACAAGTACTTGCTCTTAAATTGTTGCTGGGATGCTATTCGAGTCACTCTAATCCAATCTAAACCACAAAATTTTTAAATACATGTGATATATAAAATATTTCAAATTATATTATTTACTATAGTGTGTTTTTTATCCTATTCTAGATGAAACTCTGTATGTTATTACTGGCAATACTCTATCTGGTCAATGCAAGAACAATACAGGATAGTGACAATGAAAAACACCGACATCGACGAAGATCGAGATATCCATATTACGATTACGACCGATATAATTACGATAGAATCGACTATGGTCGCGACGATTCGATAAATGAAATAATACATTTACTGCAAGAAATATCTTCATATATAAAACGACCAGCTCCCCCTCCGCCTCCACCGCAAATTATTTATATTCCGTATCCGGTGCCTTATTCACCTTGTCCAAAAAATATAAGTCTACCAGATAGATTTCCGGAAATGGAAGATGAAAATATGAATTGGGGTATAGTTACTGGTGACAAGGGAACAAATATAGAAAGTGAAAACGATGGCTCTAGACCCATAAGTTTGGACCCTATCGAACCTACACAACCGTTTCCAGAGATGCCACCTGTTGAGCATGGCAGCAGTCAAGCCGGGGTAACATGTCTTTCTTGTTTTTTTATTATATTATCTACTCATTTTTGTGAAAAAAGAATTGAGTATCGTGCATTTCACTACATGTCATAGTTAGAAATATGATTTATAAGTACGTAGTGATCTAGTTTAAACACTTATTTTATTTGTGAATTGTAATAATTTGTTAGAGTGGACCTTATGATATTTAGCTAGTTAGGATGGTTTGCTTTTAATCATGATGATGGTTTATCAAATCGTTATATTTTTATTAGGAGTACACTGGCAAAGCTTCAAATCGATTATTTATATATATACATATATATATATATATATATATATATCTGTATATATATTCAGGTACGTTTGATTTATTTAAATTTTTATTTTTGTTTTAGATGCCAACTACAACAAAAGCGCCTGCACTGAAATCACGAATTTGTCAAGCTGCTATATTAATATGTTGCGATTATCCTGAAGAGGAACAAAGGAAACAATGTTTCTATCAATATAAATGTTTCAGGACATACTCCACTGGTATTTCTTGTAACAAAGCAGTCATCAATAAAGCCTTTGAAGAATTCACAAAAGCTTATGGCTCGCGTTAATGTAATGAACAGACTAAAATATTTATTTCAATTGCTTAGAATATTCCTTCAATTATATATTACTAGCGATTCACCCTCGCTCCTTACGGAATCGTCCTTAGATACGTTTTAACGGTTAGTATAGATTTGTCAGAGTTGAGATATTTTCAACAACAAGATATGGGAGCACTTAGAGTGGGGGGATTTAACTGTATGTCTGTATCTCGATTTAAAAGATAAATATTAGGTATACATAAATACAACGTATGTATACGTTAAAAGTAAAATTATATATTATTGCTATACCAGAAAGTATTATTAATCTTATAATAATAGAGATTTACTATACTGCACAAACAGCAACGCATGTATATCTTTATTATTATTATTATTATTATATAGTTTAACTAACGTATACATGTACAGAGTATTTTATGAAATTTAAATATGTAGTTTTTTAAATTATTTATAATTAACCGTGAAGGTTTTATTAACAGTTCCTTTTATTTTTTAAATATTATGGAGTAAATCTAGTTAGTCAAACTTCACTTTGACATTTTTTTTATAATATAGGTAGTATTTATGGAGGGTATCCTCCATAAATATAGGTAAATACGATATACTAATAAGAACATTTTATGTACTTTTTATTTACTTTGTTTGATTTTTGAATCATTTGTATTTTAATTTTAATTATCATTTTTACGTCATGAAATGTTGTATACCAAGTATACGTTATGGAATAAAAACATATTTTATATGCAATGATAAATAATGTTAATCATTTGAAGTTGTATTGCTTAATTTTCCTTTTAAAGGAACGAAAACATTTCTTATGTTATTTTAATCTTATTTAGTAATTAATTTGCATTTAATAGAAAATATAGTTAACTTCGAATTATGCACACGAAAGTTTACATAATTTCGATTGGCAGCTATTTGTTTCTAGTCTATGATATTACTTCGTGCCAAACATACGCCGAGAGCAGTCAAATCATAGACATAGAGAATGGACTGAGTGTTAGTTTCTTTGCCAGTCATAAGCTAAAAATGGCGAAAAAGCTTGACAGTGACAAAACGAATGTGCGGCCAGAGGTCTTTTGTATTAATTGACATACGATTAATGAAGATTGTAACCTTTTGTTTCTATCACACTCTGTTATATTTTTTATACATTCCATTTATAAATTCAAATTGGAATAAAATACAGGCGCCTATCGGCCGCACGGTCGCTTTCTCTCTTTCTAGAGAGTGGTCAATTTCATTAAAGTATCGCTCAGCCCAGTCTCTACGAGAATGAGTCAAATTGATCGCAGATAACGTTTGACAAGATTACGGAAAATTTAATTAAGAATCTGTTCTTAACATAATGAGTATGCTGTATGTATATTGTAAAAAAATATATAACACTTTATTAAATTTGTTTTTAATTTATCCCATTAATAATATTTAAATTATCATCTTGCAACTAATTTCTACAAGTAGGTACCTACTGTAAAAATTATTTAAAAATAATATTCTATTTATTTATGCAATTTAATTTTGTTGTTTTGAGAAACAGTATCTTTACACAGACGTTTTTATCATAACGCAACATTTAGAATTTATATTTAAACATTATGACTAATATGCAGAGTACTTATTAAAAAATATTTATCATCTATATTTTATCTATAATATTTGAGTGTCGAGTAGTAGACGGAGAAAACTACCGTTTACAGTCGAGTACATCAAGGCTCAAGCCAGTACTCAAACTTATAATGGAAAGCTTCTTAATAATCTAATCTATCAGTTTTACCTATCAAATTATATCAACAAATCAATAGATCTTTTTTATAGAAAATCTTAATACATGCCATACCTTTTTTTTAATATCATGAATTATTTTCAAGACATTTTACTTTCATAGATCTCATTTCAGTTTTTTTCCTGAGTTTCAATTCTTCTTTAAATAAATAAATGAATAAATAAATATGTTGGGACATTAACACACAACACCATCTAGTTCCATGGTAATCTACGAGGCTTGTCTTATGGACACCAGATTGTTGATACACTACATTTATATAACTTTAAATACATACATATTATAAATATAAATATCCATGACTGGAATACAAACATTCGTGCTCATCACACAAATGAATGCCCCCAGCGGGACTCGAGCCCGCGACCGCTGGCACAGCAAGTAGGGTCGCTACAAACTGAGCCAAACGTGTCGTCAATTGCCTTTATTGAACTATAAACGAATCACAATATGATATTGATACATTAAAAATTTAAATATATGAACATCTCTCACGCTTAAAAAATTAAACGGAGAGCGTATAAGACTAATAAATGCCAATATAGTTCTATAAAAAGCCAAATTATAATACCATTTCTGTACCGTAGTTGTAGTTGAACCATTCCCGCCGCTGTATCCGCAGTAATCAGGAGATCGGACGCAAATATGTAATTTAAAGTAAAATAACCGAAGTAATTAAGCCACATGGCATAAAAATACTAAAAACTTATCAGGAAATATAAAAACTTAAAAAAAACCGACTTCCAGGCACTAAAATGTAAAAAATAACTAAACGGAGGTTTTCATTTAGAATAGATACCTAATCACATATTTTCGAAGTCGTACGTAAAATACATATTTACCTATTAGATATGCATATCTTAAAATATTGTCGGCTTTTATTTAAAAAATATATTTATTGTTGATTTTTTTAAAAAACCGCTCGACCCATTTCGATAAAATTTATATGGGACTACCTGGGGAAGTATACCCTTTGAAATACAAAAAAAAATTCCAAATCGGTTTAGGCGTCTTCGAGTAATAGGTGAACATACGTAAAAAAAAAGAAAAAAAAGATTCCGAAAAATTGAGAACCTCCTCCTTTTTGGAAGTCGTTTAATTAAAAATATCGTTAATCGTTTGACATATTGTCTTTCGGCATTGACAGCTTTGTTTTGCATCATTTATCCTCATGGACGCTCCATCTATACATCGCTATACTATTCTTTTAGTCTGAGACGATGTTCTAAAGTACAATTTTGATTGAAATGACTTGCATCCTTGCAGATAACCGGTTATTTAAAGAAAAAATATAAATTTGCTAAGACGGTGAATGTGCGCGGCAACAGCACGCTTCATACCCGTTATGTAATTAATTATAGTATGCATAAATCAACCAAAATGTCCATCAAGAAAGTCATTAATATTATTCCTTTTTTACAAATAAAAATTGTCATCTTTAATATATTACACGAGGTAAAAAGAATATAAAAAAGGTAAAATATGTGCTCATAATATTTTTTCTAGCTGTGCAGGAAAATTTTTCAAGTAAGAATAAATGGCAAAATTCTAAGCGAGTCAAGCTTAAAGTATTCTAAAAGTTGCTTTTTGTTAAAAAACTATACTAATACATTTGAAGTTCTCCCAAAATATTAAATAAATCACTATTACATATTATCACATATTACATTACGCAAAAGTCGCATATATTTTTCGGCGGTGTACATTTTTATTTTTATCCTAAAAATGTATTATTTATAGTGGTAAAAAAAATATCCCATAATAAAAAAAAACTTGCTTCTGTTAATAAATAAATCACCTTTATTACATCGCTTGAAAGTCGCATATAATTTATAAGGCCATATGATTCTTTATTCTAAAAATGTATTATTTAAAATTGTGAATAAAAAAGCCCTATAATAAAAAAAATGCTTGACGAATAAATTGTTATACACAAACATACGAGTATAATTACTACACAGGCGCCTATCGGAGTTTGAGGTATTCCATTTGGAAGTATTTGAAATATTTACATATAAATTGAAAAAATATTTTTAGTCCCCTTTTAACGTGTCACAGACGTAATGGGGCACGCCCGTATACCCTCAATGTGATGCAAGCACCGGGCCCTATAGTCTTTCACGCTGGTCAAATGCGTGTTTGCGGACTTCACTTATCTTTCGAAAACTATTTGGGTTCTGAAATATGCTGATGCCGATTTCCTTATAATATTTTCCCGCACCTTATTACCAAGTGGTAATCGTTATGAATATGATTAAAAATCTCACAGATGTGAGATTCTTGGAGAGCAGTACTTTTTCAAGCTAGTGAGTTACCAATACATTTATGAACAAATATTTTATTTAATCTGATTATTTAAAATGAACAGTATAGATCTGATATAAAAATGTATTGTAAAAAGATCGTAAAAATATCAAAAATATGTAGTTACAAACCTACTATTGTTAAAGATATAAAAGAACTTGTCTAGTGATGTATAATGCAAATAAAATCTGATTGGTCTAATTAGATCAATTATATCAATTAAGACTGCTGAGATGTAAAACGGTAACCATTTTAAATTAAAAGTTAGCCTTAACGATGGATAAAGCAGTTAATCTCACATGAGCCGTCTGGACGAGACAGACCCAATAAAAGAAAATTATTATTAATCATCCTCGCTGCTTTTATTTTTCACAGATAAACAAGTTTTATTTATTTAAATAAAATATAGGTATGCTTTTTGTGTTTTATTTGAGGATATGAAAACGCATTTTTAGAGTTAATGCTGCATTTTCAAACTGCATATCATGAATGATTTCAGTATGACAATTAGAAATAGCTTAAATTTTCATTAGCTATTTTCCCACCCTTAGGGTGATATGACTTTTTTTCAAATTTAACTTTCAAACAAAACGTTAAACAAAAATTGTCCGAATCAGTTAATAAATGACGGAGTTCTGAGGTGACAAACAAAAAAAATACAGTTTAATTGAGAACCTACTCCTTTTTGAAGTCGGTTGAAAATACGCCGTTCCGATGCTCTGTTATCTATTTTTAACATGAATAGAGGTTTTGCCCACACATGTTGTTAGTTATTTAATGAAATTTAATATACTTTATTTAAAACGTCTCTTCATGGCGTCGTGCTTGACTGGAAGATATCACTATTATCTCATGTAATCGAGACGAACATCTGGACTGACCGATTTAAAACGGGTATCTCATATTA